TCTATCGTGGCAGGGCAGTGCAAACGGGTCGGGGCAGGGCAGGGCAGGGCAGGGCAGGGCAGCAGGGGCAGGGCAGGGCAGGGCAGCAGGGGCAGGGCAGGGCAGGGCAGGGCAGGGCAGGGCAGGGCAGGGCAGGGCAGGGCAGGGCAGGGCAGGGCAGGGCAGGGCACAGCAGCACGCAGGGCACAGCAGGGGCAGGGCAGGCCAGGGCAGGGCTCGAGGCAGCAAAAAACAAAGCCACCTGCACAAAAAAAGCAAAAGCAAAAACCCGCTCGAAACCCGCTCGAAACCCGCCCGAAACCCGCCCGAAACCCGCCAAAACCCGCCAAAACTCCGGACCCAAACCCTACACACCTTCTATAAACCCTAAACCCTAAACCCTAAACCCTAAACTAAAGCTGGTGATGCCTGTCGCGACGTCTAGGAGCCTATGGCATCACCAGCGCACGTGCGCTGAGCACCGGCATCCGTGTCAATAACGGATGCTTACTGCCTGCAGCTTGAGCGCGAAGAGTTAGCTTCGTGCTCCGTACCCGCATTCGTTCACTTCGGAGGGTGCATTACGCTTCCAGCGTGAAAATAAATAATAGTATATTTTATTACCCTAAGCCCTAGGGTCGGGATCCTAAACGGCTCGTAAAGTTTTGAGGTTTGATCCAACTGCCCGTACGGACGGCGCCGTGTGTCCTCCCTGACAGCTCACAGGCTGGCCCCATCTGCAGGCTGGACCCCACTGCCCGTACGGACGGCCGGTTCGGGCGGCCGTGGGCTCACCTGTACGCACCAAGTGCCCGTGCGGACGGCCGGGCAGCCACCTGCCCGTACGGACGGCGCCGCGCGCACCTGCGAGTACGGACGGTTGGTTCGGGCGGCCCCCACTGCCCGTACGCCAAGAGCAGCCACATGAAAAGAAAGGAAGGGACCTCGAGATTAGCGCCTGGCCTTGCTTAAAATACACATTTTATGAAAAGAATTTAATACTCCAGAATCAGCTACAGTTTTCCAGACCGTCCGGACGGCGCCGTGCGGACGGCGCTCCCCTATCTTTGCCTTCTTAATGAAGGAGGCACCTTACGTCCCGTTTGGGCCCATACCTTATCTTTGCCTCCACTGTCCGGCCGGTTGGGGCGACCCCCTGACGGCGCTCCCTTATTTTTGCCTTCTTTGAAGGAAGCCCCCACTGTCCGTACGGAGGGCCGGTTCCGGCGGTCCCCTGCCCGTACGCTCTCCCTTATCTTTGCCTTCAACGCCCGTACCGACGGCGCTCCCCTATCTTTGCCGTTCGGGCGGCCGCATCTCGGACAACCCGCAGACTGGACCCCACTGCCCGTACGGACGGCCAGTTTGGCAGCCAGCTGCCCGTGCGGACGGCGCCGCGTGCACTCCAAGAGCAGCTACATGAAAAGAAAGAAGGGGACCTCGACATTGGCGCCTGGCCTAAGCTAAAATACACATTTTATGAAAAGAATTTAGTACTCCAACATCAGCCACAATTTTCCAAATTTCCGAAAGGCAGCCAGCTGCCCGTACAGACGGCTTCCTTGCCAGCTCTCGCAGGCTGGCCCTTCTGCAGGCTGGACCCACTGCCCGTACGGACGGCCGGTTGGGCGGTGCGTGTGCCTCCCTGTACGCACCAAGTGCCCGTACGGACGGCAGGTTCGGGCGAGAGGACCCCACTGCCCGTACGGACGGCCGGTTCGGGCGGCCTTCACTGCCCGTACGGACGGCACTGGACCCCACTGTCCGTACGGACGGCCGGTTTGGCAGCCACCTGCCCGTACGGACGGCGGCGCGTGCAGGAAGACCCCACTGCCCGTACGGACGGCCGGTTCGGGCGGCTCCGACTGCCCGTACCAACCGCGCCATTGTACTCCCTGAAGGGTCGCAGGCTGGACCCCACTGCCCGTACGGACGGCCGGAACTGCCCGTGCGGACGGCGCCCTGCGCTCCACCAAACATTCAGTACCGCTGTGAACGGCCCCCCGACGAAAGCCTAGAGCAAGACCTTAAACGTTAAGGGAAAACGTTGTACGTCGTCCAAACCCCATAAGAAAAACCCTAAACCCTAACAGATTCAATGTCTGGGTGGTCTTGGGGTGGGATGTCGCGTCCAGCTCGGCGCGCCGCCCCGCGACCCTCTGGGTCGAGGCGCGCCGCTTACGATGGGAAACCCTAAACCCTAAACCCTAAACCCTAGACCCTAAACTAAAGCTGGTGATGCCTGTCGCGACGTCTAGGAGCCTATGGCATCACCAGCGCACGTGCGCTGAGCACCGGCATCCGTTTCAAGAACGGATGCTTACTGCCTGCAGCTTGAGCGCGAAGAGTTAGCTTCGTGCTCCGTACCCGCATTCGTTCACTTCGGAGGGTGCATTACGCTTCCAGCGTGAAAATAAATAATAGTATATTTTATTACCCTAAACCCTAGGGTCGGGATCCTAACTGGCTTGTGAAGTTTTGAAGCTGGACTCCACTGTCCCTACGGACGGCGCCGCGTATGCTCCCTGGCGGTCACCGGCTGGCCCCATCTGCAGGCTGTTTGCGCCCCCTGTACGCCCCAGTCCCCGTGGACGGCCGCGTTTCGCAATCCGCAGGCTGGACCGCACTGCCCGTACGAACGGCCGGTTCGGACGGGCGTGTCGGACGGCCGGCCCCACTGTCCGTACGGACGGGGCCGTGTGCACCCCTTGGCAGCTCGCAGGCTGACCTTGCACACTGCCCGTATGGACGGCCCTGCGCACCAGGTGCCCGTATGGACGGCGGGTCCGCGGCCGCATTTCGGAACTGCCCGTACGGACGGCCGGTTCGGGCGGACGGCCGGTTCGGGCCGCCTCCACTGCCCGTACGGACGGCGCTCCCTTATCTTTGCCTTCTTAATGAAGGAGGCCGGTTCGGGCGGCCGTACGGACGGCGCTCCCTTATCTTTGCCTTCTTAATGAAGGAGGACCCCACTGTCCGTACGGACGGCCGGTTCGGGCGGCCCCCACTGCCCGTACGAACAGCGCTCCCTTATCGTTGCCTTCTTAATGAAGCTGACCACCACTGCCCGTACGGACGCCCCCCACTGCCCGTACGGACGGCGCTCCTTTATCTTTGCCTTCTTAATGAAGGAGACCACCACTGCCCGTACGGACGGCCGGTTCGGGCGGCCCCCACTGCCCGTACGGACGGCGCCGTGCGGACGGCGCTCCCCTATCTTTGCTTTCTTAATGAAGGAGACACCTTACGTCCAATTTGGGCCCATACCTTATCTTTGCCTTCTTACTGAAGGAGGACCCCACTGCCCGTACGGACGGCCGGTTCGGGCGGCCCCCACTGCTCGTACGGACGGCGCTCCCTAATCCTTAATGAAGGAGACCACCACTGCCCGTACGGACGGCCGGTTCGGGCGGCCCCCACTGCCCGTACGGACGGCGCCGCGCGGACGGCGCTCCCCCATCGTTTTCTTAATGAAGCAGACACCTTACGTCCAATTTGGGCCCATACCTTATCTTTGCCTTCTTAATGAAGGAGGACCCCACTGTCCGGTTCGGGCGGCCCCCACTGCCCGTACGGACGGCGCTCCCCTATCTTTGGCTTCTTAATGAAGGAGGACCCCACTGTCCGTACGGACGGCCGGTTCGGGCCGCCCCCACTGCCCGTATGGACGGCGCTCCCTTATCTTTGCTTTCTTAATGAAGGAGGACCCCACTGTCCGTACGGACGGCCGGTTCGGGCGGCCCCCTGCCCGTACGGACGGTGCTCCTTTATCTTTGCCTTCTTAATGAAGGAGACCACCACTGCCCGTACGGACGGCCGGGTCGGGCGGCCCCCACTGCCCGTACGGACGGCGCTCCCCTATCTTTGCCTTCTTAATGAAGGAGACACCTTACGTCCAATTTGGGCCCATACCTTATCTTTGCTTTCTTACTGAAGGAGGACCCCACTGCCCGTACGGACGGCCGGTTCGGGCGGCCCCCACTGCCCGCACGGACGGCGCTCCCCTATCTTTGCCTTCTTAATGAAGGAGACACCTTACGTCTAATTTGAGCCCTTATCTTTGCCTTGGACTCACTGCCCGTACGGACGGTCGGTTCGGCCGGCTATGTTTGCCTTCTTAATGAAGGAGACCGCGTGCGTCCAATCTGGACCCACTCCGGAAACCACTGCCTGCAACAAGGAGCTCTCTGGTAAGGGACCCTTCCCGCAAGGGCTCTCACGGGCACTTCGTCGTTCTTCTCTGTGAGGGGACCCAGGAGGCCACGACACCGTATCCTCTTCGTCGTCCTTCTCTATGAAGGACCACTCCCGACCCTTCTTGCAAGGGGCCTTCTGGGTTGGAGTTGTGCCGTAACAGACTCTTTTCGTAAGCTTTCCTGAAAAGGCCTTTTCGTAAGAGGCCGCTTTACGGTTCTCTTCGTCGTCCTTCTCTGTGAAGGGACCGCAACGAGCTCCTGTAAGAAAGCTTTCCCGTAAGGGCCGTGCTGGTCGGGACGCACATATGCCTGGCCAATTTCCCTGTGAGCTTCCTGCTCTCTTTTCTTTGTTGCATACCTGCTACTTGTGATACGTTTTTGGTTCGCTTCTGTCTCGTACCGCTATTCACTATTTCCAACTCCTATACTACTGCTCCGACTGCTGCTGCTGCTGCTGCTGCTACTGCTCGTACTGCTAATGCTGGCTTCTTTTATTTGTGACCATACCCTTCAAGTACTTTTGCTACTGCCGCTATTGCTGCTACTGCTGCTAGACTTGTGCTCCTCCGGCGCGCCTCAGACATGACAGTTACGCCTTCCCAGGCTTTTCTTCTGTAGCTGGATTGATTGCATTGGGTGACTGCTTAGGAGCCAACATTGTGTTCTGCAGGGTGTCTTTGAGTCTGGCTTCCAGCATTATGTCCGCTGTTGGTTCACAGAGACGTGCATAGTTGCTCGCCGTGACCGACCACCATGTCGAAACGCCCCGCTGCTGCCGAGCCTGCTGCCGAGCCTGCTGCGGCCTGGCCGCGCCGTCGCCGAGTGATGGAACAACCCATCGTGCCGATCGTGGAGGGACAACCTGCCGCACGGCCTATCCAGCGGCCTGCTGCTTCTGCGGCGACGACCAACCTCTGCCACGGTCGTCCTGGCGACCCATGTTGCTTTTCGACGCGGGTCTCTGGACAGCGAGCTCGGTACCAGGATGTCTCGCGGCAATGTCCCTGGTGTAATGCAGCACTGCTTCAGGCTGGCTTGACGAGCGAGCGCGGGCGCGGTCAGCTGAGTCGTTCCTTGCGATTCTTCTGGGGTCATGACAAAGCTGTCTACCACAAAGCCGTCGGCCGCTTGCCCGAGACGGTGCGTCTGCACTGGCCGCTGCAAGTCCTGGGGCTTTCAGCTGCCTTCCATTCGGCAGCAAGCCTGCGCACGGCTGTCGCGACGTCGCAAGGCCGGGGACGCATACTGGCAATGCTGCGAAAGCGTCAAGCCGCGGATCCTGACCTTGTGGCCGAAGCCTTCAAAGCAATTCCGGCAGAGCACTTGGAAGACTTCGAGGCTAGGCTGGCGCAGGAGCCGCGCCGGGTGCGGCAGGCGCGTCGGCGAGCCGCGGCGGAGACCGTGGAGCAGCGATGGGAGCGGCTGCTAGCTCACAGAAGACGCCTGCGAGGGCCGGCGCTGCCCGAAGCAGAGGCTGCTACGTACAGTCGGCGGGCGACGGAAGACCGTGTGCGTGTGCGCCGGAAGTTCTTTCCCGCACGGCCGAAAGAAGTGCGCCACACCGGTCGGCAGTGGTCCAACCCCTGGACGGACGAAGCGGCGGAAAGCGTTCGAGACGTTGCCGACAACGACACCGGCCTTCCTCGTGCAGCCATTACTCCGTTTGCAACCATGCTGGAGGACTGGTGTAAGCAAGGAGCTTGGGCTATCTGCGAAAGATGCTTTTCTTTGGAGCCGAGGCATCTCAAAGAAGTGGACACGCGCCGCGTGGCCGATCCGGCCGTGCCCAACTGTCGGTGGTGTCGCCGCGACGGCGTGGAGTCGGTGCCCACCGTTGACCGCGTACCACGGCAGCTGCGGGGTCTCTGCCATGATGTGGTGGCTGCCCTTCGACCCTTCGACATCGACTGTGGGCCGTATCAACGTCCACCTCACGGATATCGTGTGCACACCGCCTTGCTGCGCTTGCTTTGGTCCGACACGGATGTGGAAGCGAAAATTGCTGCGCTCGAGCACCGGACGTGGCGAACGAAGGCGAAGAAAGCTTTCAAGTTCTTGATGCAACACTCGTGTTCCGAGTATAGGAACTTTGTGACGCAGCATCGTCGTTTCCTCCGAGACCATCCGATGCCGACGGACGCAGCTCGTCGCCGCCCGCTGCAGACGCTGGAAACTCCCGGCATAGAAACCGCCCTGTGGCCAGACCTGTACTACAACTCCGACTTGTGCGAGTCTGTGGAAAGAGCGACGGATGCCCGACGGCTCCAGCGCCAGGGTTTGCTCCAGGAAGACAGCGACGACGACGACCGAGAACGTGAAGACGACCCCGGCCGCGGCAGCCTGCGCCGCAGTTTTCTGAAGAAGGTTCTTGGGCCGATCCTGGATTACGCTGGCGAGTACGAACTGCTGCAATACGTGTTTGACTTAGCCTTCTGGAGTGACTTCGGCAGCAAGCGACACGTGCAGCCCCACTTGCCCATGCGTATTTTGCTCAAGGGCTCGCCCTTCACGCCGGCATATTGGGCCGTGCGGCATGCTGCCGTTATCGACTTGCAACGGCAATGCGGCTACCCATTCCTCTTCAAAACATGGGCACCATACGAATGGAGCGCACCTTATCACAAGGCCTTGCTCCATCAGATGCGCCACTTGCTTCGTTCCAGGCTACACCTGGAGGGCCCGGAGACGCTGCATCTTGCCCACATCCTTCTGGAGCTCCTGCGCGAGTGGGTAGCAGGAGGCAGTCGAAAGCACGGCGAAAGCAGCAAGCTTTGGCAAAAGCATCTCCTGTGCGGCGGTCGTCGCATCAACTTTGCCGCGCGCCTGGAGTATCAGGACGGCAAACGAAAGGCCGGGACTCAGGCCTACCACGGCCGCGGTGCCGTTCATCTGCACGCAGTCCTCTTCGTGGAAAAGCCGGAGGCTGTGCGGTTGCACGAGAAGTTGCACGCAACCCCGCCACCGGAAGGCCACCCACTCTGCGGGTATGTCCTGGACCAGCTGAGCTACAGTGGCAGCGGCTGGCCGGTGCACGAAGCGCCGTCCTGTTGGGACACGGTCGATGAAGTCGTGCGTTTGCACCACACGGAGCAGGACGCAGAGCAGGGTGTCCGCGCGTACGGGCTGGAGGAAGTGGATATACTCAAAGGCCATGTGGACAACATAGCACCGCAGGCGGCAGGATCCGGCGGTCGCGGGCTGCTCATGCGGTATGTTGCCACTTATAATGTCAAGTTCAGCAGCAGCTTCCACAACGAGATGCTGGCCGACACCGGCGTCTCGGGATACGGGATGGCTCTCCGCATCCTCAGCACGCTGCATCCGTCCGAGCCCGAAATGTGGGTGACACTGTTCAAGCAGCTCTTTCCTGATTTTGCACTGGGAGGCACCATGCTGCCGATCGTAGCACCCTGGCCGACGATGGACGCGCAGCCGGAGTTCGTGCGCCGGTACGAGGAATGTCTCTGGCGCAGTGACAGCATGTCGCTCCTCGAGTATCTTCGGAAAACCAATGCTGCTGGAGAAGTGGTCGCTTGGATCCAAAAGCTCCATGCCGCTGCTGACTCGGCGCTGGACTTGGGTGAGTTCGCGAGTGTGCAGACGACGTTCGGCGAGAAGGTCGTGGCAGCGGAGACGGTGAGCGTGTTCAGCGACAAGTACTTTGGTCAGTGGCTGATGCTGCACGTGCCTTTCCGCAGCGCCGCAGACTTCTTGTACCCCGATATCGTCGCGAAGATCCCCACGCGCTATCAGCTCTTCGCTTGCGCCTGGCGCGCCGCTGGAGATTACTGGACGGACAGAGCACGGGTGCGGGAGGACATGCAGCTGGCCGCTCACAAGGACGCGACCATAGCTAACTTCCTCGCTCTGCTGGATGCTCAGCGTGAGATCGTGGATCAATACCTACGTGGCGACATCTCGCTCGAAGACGAAGTGCCCGAGCCAGCCTTGCCTGCGCTGCCGGGTGCCCTCGGGCTGGAGCGTCCCTGCTTCAACCGACAGCAGCAAGTCTTGGAGCGGTGCGCGCTAGAACGCTTGGATTTGATTCAAGCCTTGAAGGACGCGCAGACACCGGCAGAGGCCGATGATGCGGCTTTGCGCCTCGAGGAGCAGAACAGCGTCTTGGTGTGCATGGGCGGCCCTGGCACGGGCAAGACGTTCGTCGCCGACTACCTCGTCCGCGTGGCTGTGCGGCGGGGCCACCGTGTGCTCTACGCGCTGCCGACGGGACAGCTGGCCTGTCGCATGCGCCAGCGCCACCCCGACATTCACGTCGACACTTGCGCCGGCGCCTTCCTGTTCTACCGGCCAGAATCTGAGACCCTTGCTCTCATGGCCGAGTACGATATGGTG